ACTAGTTTTTGCGTCCCACAAGTATGCTGCCATGCTAAGGAAAAATGCCGTGTGAACATTCAAGAGTTGCTAAATTTCATTCGATAAAATCTCTATGTCTAAGGAAAGTTGTGAACTTTTTTCCTTGAAATTTTCAGGAACTTCAGGTGGCATTACGAACAAAATTATCTAAAAAATTGGAAGGAAAATATTCATAAGTTCACCAGGAAATTTGTGTTTTATTAAAGGGGATTTGGCAACGCCTGAAGGTTCATACGGCGTTTTTCCTTAGCACGGGAGTATGGAAGGAAGCCAGTCGCTCACTCGGGCCGAAGGGGTCGACGCGACGGTGGCAAAATGCGTGGGTTGCCTACCGAGCCAGGCTTCGTATGTCTTTCACGGCTCCGGCCCCCGACTCGGTGGCTGAGGCTGGTAGCGGTGAGACGCCGAAAATGTAAACATCGTTTATGCATTTTGTTTATTTTCAATTATTACATTTTAATCTCGGAGGGGCTCCTCCGCGCCGTGGTTCCCGGCCGAGTTACCCCCGTCGAGGAATTGTCGGGTGACATCCGCTCGGCCATCCTTATCACCGTTTACAAGCTTAGTCTCCTACACTCCTGTGCTAAGAACAAACGTTGTATCAACACTCGAGAGTTGCCAAATCTCTTCCGGTAAAATGCTCTTTTTAAGGTGAATCCAGGCTTAGAACTTCGCGATTTAGCCACCACGTCGCGCCGCTCAGAATAGCCGTATATATTTGCCAAAATAATAAAAACCGTAATAATTGTTCAAGATTGGGGATCCAGGGGATATAGCAACATACTTGAGGAACGCCCAGTAAAAAAATCTTCTTAAAATTCCCAAAAATAAAGTCATAACTACGGTGGGTAGTAATTCCCATTGCGGCAATGGGTGGGAGAGAGACGGAACATGAGGGATTCGGTTACGCGCTCGGCCGCCGCCGCTGAGCTGAAGGTTTCAGCCGTACTTCCTCTGCGCTTGTAATTCTAATTGCCAATATTATTAGCTCAAAAAATCAAGCAAAAATTAATCCATATCTTGTAGATCTGCTTTTTGTATTTTAAACAATATTATTTTAGTAATCGCCGAAGGAAAGTGAAATCCTCAGTGGTGACTGGTGGCGCTATCTCTAATCTTGAATTATCCCTAATCGAACCCTGGATTTACCTTAAGGAGATTCATGAGGACTTTCTCTTGACATTTTCTGATAATGGTCCAGTAGACAAGGCACGAATTTCTGCATTCTGATATACGTTTCACAACCAAAATTTCACGTAAAACACGATGCGCACAACGAAAATTACCGATATCAACTCCTTACGAAGATATTTAATGATTCTTGATGCGTGAATTCAAACCACCCGCTCATGAAAACTCAATGCTCTACGTGATTCACATCGCGCGCTAGACGTTCTCATGACAGTCTCTGCGATATAAATATCTGGCAACCTCGATCTTGACGCTTTGGCTCAGCTATAGCGAATTGCTAATAGTTTGAACAACATATGGTGGGGAAGGAACATTGCTCGATTGAGAAGCTTGCTGAAACCGTTGTAGTGCGCGATTTAACTCACGCAGAGCTTTGAGTTTCTTGTGAGCGAGCAGTTCAAAATCCTCGTAACCAATGTGAAATAAAAACGTTGATATCTTTGTTAGGAGTTGATTTCGGTAATTTCTGTTGCGCGAATCGTGTTCTACGGAAAATTCTGGTCAAGAAACATGTATAAGAATGCTTAAATTCGTACCTTGTTCAGTGGTCCATTTGGATCTGATTGCGAATAAGATTTTCCAAAAATTGGAGGAAGAAATATTCACTAATTCCCCTGAAAATTCCAATTTCAACACAGGAATTTTGGCAACGTCTGAAGGCTCATATGGCGTCTTTCCTCAGTACGACACAATACTGCAGTGCCGAAGAAAAGCGTCGTATGAATATTCGGACGTTGCCCAATTCCCACTTCCAAAATATTATTTTTTGAGAAACTAGAGGGCTCCGCCCCCTGGCCGCTCCTCGGCCCAACCCCCTCGTATATTCTGTCAATTCGTTATGAAAATATCACTTAATTTTTTTTAATTTACATTATTCTCGTAAATTGTATTAATATTAATACTGCTGAAGTTCTGTTAAGTGCTTATTCATTCAAAAGATCATCTTCAATTTAGCTAAAAACTTACTTCAATTAAGGTTGGAGTTTTAAAAAAAGGTGAATAATCAGTTTGAAACGGTTTATATGGGATAAANAGTTATGTATTTCTCTTTGAAATTTCCACATATTGTAGATCAAACTGCGAATGAAAATCTCTTGAAAGTTGGAAGAAAAATGTTACCATATTTTCCTGAAAATTTCTGTTTTATCTAATGAAATTTGGCAGCAACCACAGGTTCATAAGATGTTTTACTTCAGGGATGTAGTAGTGCATTTTTGCCGATCCTGCCCCACTAACTTCACTAGTCCATCTCTCCAAAGGCTACCGCGAAATGAATACCGTGATTATTGAAATAGATAGACAAAGAAGACATAGGGAGTATGAAGTGATCCTAGTGGTTTAAACGAGGTTTTCCTCCTTTCAAGGACAAGCGTTAAGAATATTTTTGAAACAGTTGTAATAGATTTTCGTGTCGTACTCTATGGCATCGGTTTCAAAAAAAATTGTTCGAGTTGAGGAATGTCAGTTTTGGCGATCCGTGGATCAGGATGCTTAGACAGATTCCTTCCTATTAAAGTCTGGAGATTAATGTTCGGAGTATGTGTTGGGGAAATCCTAGAAACTGAGTTTAAAGAACAACGAACCGAGAAAAACTTTTTGCAACTTAGAGCTGTGGTTGATGGAAGCCAATAGAGATGTGGCGTGTGTCAGGAATTTGCAATTTGACTATTGATTCTTACGTAAAAGTTCGCGTGGAACACGATGGTGCCTCTTGTTTTCTCTAAAATTAACTCCCAAGCTCAAAAAAAGCTCTCAAGTTGAGGCCAAAATGGAGGGGATATCCCACGCTATCCTGAGAGTCCACCTCTGCATCAAGACAAACTCTCCATGCAAAGATAGGGAGCAAATACATTAGCAGGATTGCCGTGTTTTCAGTTGTCGAGCCCCAAATAAAGTGGCAGCCCTGTCAATGTATTTGCTCCCTATCTTTGCATGGAGAGTTTATCTTGGTATACAGATGGACTCTCAGGATAGCGTGGGATATCGCCTCACTTTTGGCCTCAACTTGAGAGCTTTTTTTGAGCTTGAGAGTTAATTTCAGAGGAGACCAGTGGCACCATCGTGTTTTTAGCGAACTTTTACATAGAAATCAGTAGTCAAATCGCAAATTTTCGACACATGCAACATATCCATTCTGTGGGAGCGAGACGCTAATTCTGGATCGAATTTTTTACTATGCGTTATTGGTACTCTGCCTCTTATCCGTTTTAATACATGCGTTCGATCCTGATCGGAGGCGCCCAAACCGATATCAATCTCGAATGAAGGAGTTATAAATGAGGGGGAGGGACAGGGGGCATAAAATTGTATTGCCGCACGCTTGGGGGATGAGCAGGGGGCTTGCTGGCACCGATGCCTCATCTCCGGGAGACATCCACAGAAACTCCCTCGTGGGCCCTACCGTTAACCCTTAAGTACAAAGCGTTGCGTGTATTTCCCAACGCACTTTTGAGGGTTCGAGTCTAACGTCATGTTGCTTTACGATTGGAGTATTAATATCCGATGACTTTAGTTAAACGTTGAAATGTGCGCGTTTTTTATCGTGGAATAAAGGAACTAAGGATGATGCTCGTAATTAGCAACCAGTGGAGCTGTACGTGAATTTTCCTCGCGTAGTTATTTGAATTTCCCTACAAATAATTAGCTTTTTAAAGCTTTTTTGAAACAGGTTGAAACGGTATTGTACGCTGGAAAAAGTTGAGTTTACTACGTTTTTTCAAACCGTGTTACGAAATTGCTAATCTCCTCATTCCGTTGCAATAATTGTGAGATACTTTCGTATTTAAAGGAATGGTGTCTCCCAAGCGGAGGGGGATTTCTGGAGCGTTGTAGGCCCCTTCGATCGCATGAGCTAAAATTTTCCCCGCAGAAAAGTCATTTTCTGAAAATTTTTGGGATTTCTTACCTTCGAAGCCGCCCTCCTCTTACAATTAAAAAATGTTCACCCTAGACCTCAAGAAAAACTTCCTGTCACGCTATTCTTCGTACTAACAGTTTAATGTTTATTGCGCAGCAACCGCGGCAAAGCCTTCATATCTCTACTTTTTTAACAGAAACGTATCCTCCCCATCCAACCTCCGACAGATTCGAATCAATGAATCACAGGGAAAATGGTCGTTCTTGTAATTTTCGCTGAAATTAAAATTCATACTGAAAACGGTCATTAGACGACTAATTTCAAAGTGTTTCATAGCTTTTGAAGAGGTCTTATCATTATTTGAACTTGAGGCAATTCAATTGATGGCATCCGTGCCTGGCTAATCGGAAAATCTCTCTGATGATGTCACGATCCATGATTCCATCCGCAATAGCTCATTACACATGTGGAAAAAGTGGAACATTTTCATCCTGGCAGGCAACATCGTTTCGGTACTGTTGCAGAAGGGATCGAACAAGTTTCGGCCGAGGAAGGGAAGAGAGGGATAGGGGGTGGTTAAAGAGATGCGATGGTTCCATTAGCGTGATTAGACGCGCGTTGGTTGGATGGTCGGGTCGAGGAGAGAATTCCTTCACTACTTTAAATTACTTCTCCTTAAGTGGATTGAAGTTCGTATTTAAGTTATATTTAACTAATTAACTGCCCCTCTTCTGCGACCCCTTTGCGGTTTTTATCGGGACACATACCTGTCACTCTTCGGCCATCCCAATGAAGCACAACATATTCGATGCAACTTGAATCTATCTTGACCATGTAAAACAGTTTGACAGTTAGAAAGCATTTCAGACGAATCAAATTGGCTTCGTACAACTTCTAATAAATTTGAATTATGTTATTTTGTATGTTGCAGACGAGGAAACACTGTAGCCTAGTATCTCCATCCGGATTCGAAGTCAGAGCTCTGATGACGGGGTCTGATTCGCCTTGATTATCGCAACTTCCTATTCACCAGTAGTTCGTACGGAAACACCTCGCATCACCCAACGACCAATAGGAGCGCTCCGCCATTATTGTTTCCCGAGTGGTTTGTCTGCAAACTCCCTCACCTTCCAGTGTTTTATTAGATTCTATTTCTATTTTAAGGTGGTCTTTCATTGTGAGCAATCCATGAGCCTATCTTTTTCTCCCAATTGTAAGATTGTTTCACCGTTGTTCCCTCAGACTATTTCATGTATATACAATGCAGTCTATAACACGTGACAACTGAGTGGCAGGTATTGCAAGTAGTAAGCGACTGTGTACTTTCTCCTCTGAGGAATATTTAATATTTTTTTCATCTCCGCTAAGAGATCTTGAAATGGAAACATAATAGCGTGAATTCGCTCCCTGATTTTTTTGGCAAAGATTTGCTCTATTAAAAAAAAAACTCTACCTCTGAAAGCGCGAAACCCCCCTTCTTTCAGTGCATTTTCCGAGGGAAATATTTTCGTATTGAACGAGGAGAGGACAACGTGTTAGAAACAATTTCTCAATTTCCTTTTCAATATGATTATTTTATTTACTTTTTTTATTTCCAAGCTTTTTTCATAAACGTCTATGCCACGGTTCTTTATGACTTGAAAATGCCAATAGTTATTTATTTATTTACTACGGTGATTTCAGTCCCTCTTGAATCTACCAGCCAATAATAAGGCACGCTGTCTCTACAAATAATAAGTAAATTAATTTTTGTCTAATCTCCTTACTTTACTTTCTCTCCATACTTAGTATTTGCAAAAATACTACTCCCAAGAATTGCTCTATTGAAGCTTATTTGGATTGAATTTTGAAAAAAATAACGAAACGATTAAATAAACAAATATATGAAAAAAGGGGAAGAAAGAAAACATCACCACATGATGCGTCAAATTTGCGTCCGTCAATGTTCTTTCTCAAGAGACCAGTACCGTTGAAGGAACACCTGTGCTCTCCTTGGATAAAAAGCAGAATAAAGAAATTCATAAAACCTCGTTGTATCGTTTCCCAAATGACACTCAACATTTTAAGTCATTTTGATCATGATGACGAGAAAACTCGTGTGCTAATATCAGTCTTCTATGTATGAGGCGTTCCGAGTCACCGGAATCATATGCTTGAAAGTCTAATCTGTCAAAGCGCCTTCATCTGGCCGTGATACCGCCCCGCGACCGGAGCGATCGAATAGTGGTATCGCGCCCCCAGACACAGCACTCACGACTATGAGAGATAGAGAAGAATTTTCTCCATTTCGCCGTCGCATCGATCACAATCCTGCAACTTTGTTTGTTGTATCGATGCGTTAAAATTCAATGCTTTATCTTGAAATTTACCCTTATGAAAATGTGGACGTAATATCCTGTGACATCAGTTTTTCATTGTCCAGAAATGTATCACGCACGCTGAAATTCTTAACCGACGAGAGATTTTTGCGGAATTGAAATGCGCGACCTCAGTGGCGATTCTTGACAGTTGGCAACGTTTTTTTCCTCCATTTAAATGTATGCAAAACAATCGATTCTTGCCTCAACTATAATCGATATTTTCAATGAATATAAATGGAGGAAAAGCAGTGTTTTTAACTTGGAAAATCACCACCGCGTGACCTGCCACTCAGTCTTCAGCGTTGAAAGTCTTAGGAGAGAGAGGCGATCAAAAATCATCAAAACCTTTAACAAATCCCCTAATTATTTTGGTGCTTGCCTTTTAATTGTTTCGGCAACCCTTTTTTTCTTGATTGATGGTTTCTTTTTACTTACTTTTTAAATTTCGAGTTGCCCCATCAGTTTGCACACCGAATCAAAACGCATCTGTCCGTGTTGTCCCTCAGTTGTGTCCATTGTTGAACCTTGTTGACTAATTTATTCGCTTTTGTTTCAATAATTGTAAAACACTGTTTTCTTATGGTTGTAAGCTCGTAAGTTGTACATACTTTGTAATAGTGATCAGGAAACAAATGTTGTAATTTAACTGTGTAAATAGCCAGTTGTAAGCCTCTTAGCCTAAACTAGGGTTACCTAATTGTCTGGGATAATTCCAGGCAATCAGGCAATTCTTTTCAAGGAGGGAAACTCTTCCTTGCCTAATGGACACCCTGCCCAAATCTTGTATGCATAATTTTTGTTCCCCAAAAAAAGACAATCTGTCATTGACCCATCTTGAGTGCGGTTGACATGAACTCTTTTTGTTGTTTCGTTTTGTTCTTTATTTTCCTTTTCTCCTTTTTTAATCGTTAACAATCACCTTTTTGATTGATATAACTTTAACTGTGATAAGACGATGATTCGAAAGAAAGATGTCGTGTCTGATGTTGGTGTTTTTGACGCTCCTATCCCCTATGTGTTGAGTCGTTGAATCAGATTTCTTTTTGTCTCCCCTCCATTACAAAATCAATCATTGACATTGCGTCAAAACGAAAGAGAAAAAAAACAACCCGAAAATTTCAATTTTATTTTCTACTGACTTTCGAAAAGTTAATATTAGTATCCAACTCTTCAGCACAAACTAATATGTGTCTCTGAAAGAGGAAGTTATAAATAAGTCATATTCTGTACGATTAGGCCACGAGATCCTATCTCATCAATGAGTACGTCGAACTGATTTCTATGCTTCTGATCCTCCCATGTATTTCTGTAACCAAGATTCTCATGAGTGTCCCTACTTCTCACAATTTTCTCCCACCTTTCCTCTTTTTTCAAATAAATAATGACTGTAGTAAAGACTTTTCTCACCCTCATACAAACCTATCGTAATGTATCACGTTTTCTAATAATTATACATGTTGTGCCAAAGGGAATTATACATCTTGAATATTTTCTGGACGAATTCGAATATCGGGGGGGGGGGGGATATAGAACTGACGTGGAATATTGGAATCATATGTGGAAAATATGTTCCTCTCAAAAATATTAACACGAATTTCTGCGTTTTTCGATATTCGAATCCGTTCAAAAGATATTTAAGCTGGCCACTTTCTTTTAGCACACCCTGTTAGTCTCAATCTTGGTCATTCAAATATTTACTATGTCAATGAATTTTAACAATAAAGAAAGCTTAAGCTTACACGAAAAGAAGAGAAGAGTTGGCACATGGCACTGTGAATTTTGCCTTTTTGACTGGTGTTGGAGCCAAAACACACCTAACCGATTTTGTAATTGTAAAATCAGCATGGAATTATAACAACTTAGTTCTTTTAAAGTTCAGCCATGCGACTTTATCTAAAGACGACAACAGATTATAAACGACTTTAAAGTTACTTTTCGAGTGATTAATGGACTATGTTGTTGAACCAAGTTATTTAAACTAACTAAGCAATTTTAGATTGGAAGGGCTTACATTTTCTTGCCAAGTATGTTACAAGTACTTTACTATACCATACAGGTTTTTTACTCTTCTTTTTTTGTCTTATTTTTTAAATACTTTTTGAACAATTTAGGATGAAAATAACTGTAGCCCAGTCTAAGGATTTTTCCATCTGCCATTTGGACCTAATTTTGCAATAAGGAAATTCTATTTCTGGCACATTCACACGGACACTCATCGGCAGAGGAAAATTGCATACGTAAATTTAAACTTTGTACTTACACCGTTTCTAATACAGTGTGACAAGTTCTTGAAGAGTCGGTGAATTTTGTTATGGAACCTTGAAATTTTTTCCTCCCGTCAGAGCATCGTTTTCTTTCAATTTCAGGAAACTTTGCCCCTAACATTTTTCGCCCTTTGAATTTTTATGAGAAATCATGCTAAAAGGAAAGAAACATTGAAGAATCAGAGCATTTCATGCTCAAAATCCATGAAAAATCCGGGAATTGTGAAGTGCATAAGAAAACTTGTAAAATGAGCCAGAAGTACTATTTCCTAATTGCCAAATGCAGTCCATTTTACCCACCCTACATCCTTTTGTTTTGCTCAATCTTTATAGTGCTGTGTACTTCTGTGCAGCCGTTCTCTATTGTTTTTCGTTTTGTATTTCGTCAATTTTAGATCTCTTTGTTTTTCTGAATAGATCACTCCTATTTTGTAAATCGTTGAATTTTTATTGCCACGATATTGTTTCGATGCCCAAATGTGAAAAATTGAGTCGTTGTGATCATGAAATAATGAGCATGCGTGAATGAGGGATCCTCACTCAATCGGTGGAAACGCTCGTCCTCAAGTTTTCCTCGTGAAAATCACAAATTTGGACTCTCGCAGATCTACCAGATGAGCGGATCCTTCTGTTGCCTTACCGTCTTTAAGTAGTTGACCTCCTGTTCACGGACTGGAAGAATACGCGAAAATGAAAATAATGCCTCGCCGATCGGTCTTCCAAAGTGGCGACGTTACAAACAGTCCTGTTCAAATCACACTGAACCTCCGTTGTTTCTACTTATTAGGCTTCAACTGTAACGAGAGACAAAAAAAGGGGGAAAAAAGAGAAGATTTTTCTCGTTAAAACTGAGGTGATGTGTTGAGACATTACTTTTGATCCATACGCCTCTATTTGTAACAAGCGAGGAGGGACAGAGTTTGTACAGGGGGATATAAGAAAAATCTCAATTCCTCAAAAAAAAACCGGCTAAAATGACCAAAATATTGATGTTCTGCGTAAACAGCCATCGCTAGTTTATTAATATCCTCAAGAACGTCAAATCGAAGTTCTAAAGTTTTACGAGTTTCTCTGAAATATGTAATTTCTTATTCTCAAACCTTGAATTTTTTTAAAATAAGAAATGTACGTCATTTTTGGGGGTTTTCCCCCAAATGATGCGGAACTAATTTCTAAATGTAGTGATTTAGCTCTCTCACCTTTCTCAGTTTCTTATTTTTTGTTTCTTTTCTCTGAATCCGTCGGAAGGCACTCTGAAAAACTCCAGTTCTATTGTAAGTCGAGAACCTGAGTGTGTCCTTTATTTCCTAATTCACGAATAAAAACCAAGCGACAAAGACGTAAATTAAATTCAGGGCGACTAAGAAATGCTCGTTGGAATTAATGACTTTTATAGAAAGAGCTCAAATGCATGCCGTCTCATTCTCACCGTTTCCCGATTCAGGTTTAAAGTTATTAGAGTATACTCAAGGAACTATCGTAAAAAGGAACGTACTTGTGCGCTTGAGAAATATTTACATCGAATATTCGTAAACGCCTATGGTAAAACGGTGGTGGTTTTTACGTGTTACCGTCTGACCCTTCTCTACCTTTTACTCCTTGCAAGTATGAGAATGTTCCGACTTCCATGAAAATTCAAGTAGAATATCAGATATGGTATCCTTTATTTCCGAATACTTGCTATCAAAGGCAGCAGTGGAAATGAAAAAGGTAAAAAAAATCGTCTCCTCTTTAGACTCAATCCCAAGCTCAATTTTGTCGAAAATTGTTGGCAATTGATTGAAATTCAATTAAGTGGCAATACATTGCAATATTTTGTTATTTTGTATTTATAACTGTAATTTTATTTTAAATATATTTCGAAACTAGGCAACTTCAACGTTGATAGATCATATTTTTCTGTACTTATTATTTTAATTGATCATGGCCATTGTACATTTGTGTATTATACCTTTGAATTATTAAAAAAAAATAATAATAATTCTTGAAAAAAATAAATCTTTCTTTCTTATTTTTATCCGTCACCTCGTCCTTACTTCAAAGCGAATACGGAAGATCGAGAATGTAATGGAATATTCAGAATTTGAGTAGAAGTAAAACAATACAGTACACGTGTATTAGAAAAGTGAGCAATTACCTAAAATCAATAGCTTCAGTACCCTTCTTGGTAACCTTCTTGGTAGTCTTTTCCTACTAATTTACAGTGCAGCATCCGTATTCTTTCAAGACGTCCAACATCTTCAAGAATAAACAACAACCTCATCTTTGTCAAGAGCTTTACACTTTTTGAGCATCAATCTCTATGGTATTATTGAAGTGAATTCGTATTGTTATTCATAAAGAAACGACCACTTCTCACTGCTGAAATGCATGTATTTCTCTGAAATTAACGTTTATTATAATATTGTCACACATATAATTGAACTCAGCATAAGCACTGGATGAGAGAAGTTACAGCAGAATATGGGTGATATCATGATAACAGGAATATTCGTGTGGTCGGTGGTTATGAGTGACGTATGACAAACCAATAAAAAACCTAGATAATTAATCGAAAGAAATCATGTACCTGAGTTCGTTCATGCACAATATTATCACTCAGTCGATTTGCTTTATCGAGTATTTATCAGGTTGATACGAAACTTCCTCTAACCGATTTCTTTAACTAAGAATATTTTCTCCGAAAATGAAAGTTACATCTTTTCCCAGACGTCACATGAGTAAGAAAGTCTTCAACTGGCCACAAAGCATTACATTTTTGTGGCTTGGGCAGATATAACACTTTAAAATCACTGGACGTATATGTTTAATTATTTAAAATCAGTTTTTTAAAAAAAATTATAAGTTAAACTGAAGAAAGGCACTTGAAATTCACGAAGGAGAGACAAAGTTTTTCAAGAAACTTATTAAAAAATTCAAGGTAACCCGTGAGTGTTCAATTTCAGGTAGATACCCATTTTGGATGTGAAGCAGTGGCGTAGCGTGAATGATCGACTATCGATATTTCTCCATTTGAAGCTATGGTAAAGAATCGATTATTAAGGTGTTCGCTGCAAACACCCTGTTTATCAATCCTTTTCCGTAGGTTAGAATGACAGATCAATCGATATATCGCAAAGCACGCCACGCCTCTGATGTGAAGCTGGAGCGTGGTCGATTCTTCTAAGACACTGAAAGTCACTATACCCCTGTGTGTCAATAATGCAACGAGATCATTAAAGACATTAGATGAAAACGACGAATCCACCTTCTTTTTTTCAAAAAACATAACAATAATCAACAATTTGTGCTCGTCACAATTATTGTTCGTTAAATGACGTCAAACTCTTAAAAGCATACAGCTTGTCTCCAGATTCCTCGGCGACTCTCATTGTAAATTTCACTTTTGATTGATTCTCGATTGAACGTATTGAAATCAAAAGGAGCCATATCCATTGTGACAAGAACCCTGTCTTGAATGCGTTCCTTTGCATCTCAGGACTCTTGTCGGAATGGATATAGTTTCTTTTGATTTAGATACGTTAAATTAATGGAGCTCTTACGGTGCGTCAGGAATTTGTGAGTTAAGCAGCTACTGATTCCCACGTAACATTTCGCGAAAAACGCGATAGTGCTACTGGTTTTCTCTGAAACTTTCCAGGGTCAGACTGGCTCGTATCTAAGGGCGTACACCCTTGGCTGGTTAAAGGGGCGTAATGAGATATTTCCTGGTATGGCATCCCCTACGTGGAGAGGGGACTAGAAACTTTTGGCAAAGCAGCACAAGTTTACGCTATTTTCAGATTCAAAGTTTATTAATCGTGCGGAGTAAAAATTGCAAAATTAAACGTATTGAAGTAACCGACAGACTTCTGAAATTAAAGAAAACATAAAAAATTAAAGCCACCAGACGCATTCAAGCACCATTATTTCCAAAAGAACCGAGCTAGTGCTGCGAGTTTACACGAGCTGAAGTCGTGGGTCTGCAAATCCATCCTAAAAAAAAATCAGACAAGAACCTGAAAAAAGAAGAAAGAACGAGTAGTAGTAGTTAAATAATTTTTTTTTAAAGCGGTGCTTTAGCATCTAAGGCCATTTACACCTCTAAAGAGGGCAGTAACAGTAATAAATTTACATGGAGTATCAACACACGAAGACAGGAAAGACGTATTTGGGCGTCTTTTTAACTTTTCTCCCGAATCTAAGCAACGCCTCACTAACAGCATGTGGCAGAGCATTGAGAGTTCACGCTTCGCGTCATCGCGCCTTCAATTTTTCAGACGGACGTCCATCAAGTACGAATAGTTGTATCTCTGCGCCGTCGTAAACGCTAATCCTTTCCCTTCCTCTATTTCCATATTGTATTTGATTCCGTTTGTCTTATTCGTAATGGTGCTTCAAACTAGTAGCATAGAGCAGAGCATTGCGAGTTTACGACTCACGCCATCGCGTCTTACATTTTTCATATGCAATGTGGACATCCATCTTGCGCGAATAGTTGTATCGCGTTTACACTTTGGATGCCTCTTATTTTTGAATTTCGAGATAAATGAAGGTTAAGTTTGCCCGAGATATGCTACGGTATGTCCAAATCAAAAGTCATTTTGAAAAGGAAAAAATGTGTTTAAAGGTCTCACAAGAGGTCTATATAGAGTGCGTATGTCTAAAAATCGAACCGACCATCGCTACTAAGGGAGTTACATATAGAGAATGAAGGAGTGGGATGATGAAGCGCCTGTGTGTTAATTAAAATGTGAAAATTTCACAGAAAAGTGTTCACGCTTCAGAAAGTAGTTCTCGGACCTCTGTTCACCATTATCATGTGTGAAAGCATCTTTTTTTACTCCTAACTCTCTCTTCTTCCGTTCATTTAAGAAATTTTCCGCAAATATTCTAGGTCGTAATTTTTATCTCTTCTGATTTTGCTATCTGCCCGAGGGGCGCGTTTTCGGTGCGCCAAGGGAACGTATCTGCCAATGGCATATTGGCCTTATGGTCAGTCCGATCCTGTCTGTAACGAGCTCCAAAGCTCAAAATATATACGCTCTCAAAGTTGAGTCTGTTATGCGGATATCCCGTACTGGCTTTAGCGCCCTTAAACTACGGCCTTAACGGTCAAAACTGCAGTAGCGGCACAGGAAAACCGAAAAACCAAGCGGGGACGCTACTTCAATATTAAGCTTCCATCGCCTTGCTAAGGCGCAGTGATACAACTATTCGAACTCTCCGGAACGCGTGAGGTATTACGCCTCAATTGAAGGCGTTTTCGAATCTTCCGTGTTACTTGACGAGATTCTCCAAATTGTTTTGCATTATATTGTTGATTTGAGTTACTTTTAAAGTTTAGTTAAATTATTCCTGCTTCTACATTTTTAATTATTCTGCAAAAATTATCCATTTGCGAAATACAATCCTGGCTTTAGCGCCCTTAAACTACGGCCTTAACGGTCAAAACTGCAGTAGCGGCACAGGAAAACCGAAAAACTAAGCGGGGACGCTACTTCAATATCAAGCTTCCATCGCCTTGCTAAGGCGCAGGAATACAACTATTCGAACTCTCCGGAACGCGTGAGGTATCACGCCTCAATTGAAGGCGTTTTCGAATCTCCCGTGTTTCCTTGTTATTTGACCAAATTATTTGACCAAATTATTTGATCAAATTATTTGACCAAAAAAATTCACCATATTAGTGAAAGCGTGAGTTTTTTTTTTTTTTTTTTTTTTTTTTTTTTTTTTAAAAAATTTCACCAAATTTTTTTTTTTTTTTTTTTTAAAGAAAAAACAATTTTAAAAGTTTCATGATTTTATATTACAGAGTATGGCGAGGCGATCTTGTTGATTGTGCATGAAGTTTGTCTGAAACTTAAACAAGAAACGATCGCAATCTCGTTGATGAACCTAAACGTTGCTGTTAACATTCTGACTGTGTTTTTAGGTTAAACGCTGCGCTAAATTGTGAACTAATAGACTTACTACATAATTTACGGTACACGATTTATGTAATTGTTATATGTATACACTTACGGTTCTGTGGCAGATGTCCACAATAAATTACAGGCATTTCATGTAAACCAAAATCAAAAAGTCTGAAACTATGAAAGCATTCATTACTGCTGCAGAAAACTATGTTAAAGTTAGGCAAAAATCACACACAAGAAAAGAAAATTTGAAGTCCAATTTTTAGGGTCTTAGTGATCTCTGATCACGGAAAAAAAGTGACAGGGGTTATCCCCTAAAATTGTGGCACTACCCCAATTTTTTGGATAATATGGACATAAGCCGATTTTGTAGTGGTTGCGAATTTTTTAACACTTTATTAAGTATGAAAATTTCATAGAAAACATTATTAAATTTTCACTCCACAATTAACTTGTAGAATAATAATGACGGGGCAAGAGATAGACTGTATCTTGAAACAAAGTGGCAACCCTGTCAATTTATTTTCTCCCTATCTCAGATGGAGAGTTTCACTAGTATGGACGTGGACTCTTAGGGTAGCGTGGGATATCCCCTCCATTGCGGCCTCAACTTTGACAGCTTTTATTGAGCTTAGGAGTTGATTTCAAAAAAATCCGATGGCAGCACCATGTTTCTCGCAAAATTTTACAAATGGAGACGTAATTTTCCCCGTCAGCTTCCCCTTGTTCCGGGCGCTGCCACACTAGATGGGCTCATTTCAGAAAGAAAATATAGAGGGTTGTGAAGAGTGTAAGAAATACGTTACTTCAAGTAACGTATTGATAAACGTGGCAAAATTGGGTCATTTTGGTATGAAGCAGGGTCTACTTCTTGATAAAGCTTCCTTCACATCGGCTGGTGGGCCGATGTACTTCTCTGCGTCACGACTAAATCTGAAGTTGACTGCTGCATACCTTTTGTATTATTTTCTTTATGAACTCCGTGCGTTGTCTATCAAGGGTGTTTTTTTTTTTGACGTGAGACTACGTCTTTATCTCCTATGGTGGGGAGGAGGAGGGTGCGGCTTATTAGGGGAAAGTCTTAAGTGTTATGACGG